AGGTTGTATAAGCATTGACAAGAATCATTCTAAAAACGCCAAAAGCTTTCTCGATAGATTACTAGTACGTTGGGCCAAATATCATAAACATACTTCCACAAGGTTTTGTACTCAATGCTACGGTAACAATTAACGGCAAGGTTATTACATCGTGAATCAACCGTAATCTCCAAAGGTCCTTTTATAGATGGACCAATTCAGAACAACTCTTCATGAGTGACAAACTCCTAGAAAAGCCTTGGAAATAAAAAAAAAGTTGCTAACGATTCAGTAGGCCCAATTTTTTTGGACGCATTGTAGATTTGCATAACAACCTTGCTTTCTATAGAACGCAGATCATTTATACATTTTTCTGCAGAAGAACATTTCTTTATTTAATTTACAGCATGCACAAAAGTATGCATGTCCCTTAACCACCAAATCCTGTCCTCAACAAACATGGCTCTAAAATTAGCAAGTGGTCTGGTTCTCAAAATCATCTCAATGCAGTTTTTTCTTCTTCTTTGCGCTATCGCCAGCTGCATAGACTGCACGGGTGAACAGCGAGCAGAGCAAACAAGTGTTGGCTTTGATTTCCCATGCTGACCCATTAAGGATAGAGACAACTAAAGATCCTCGATTGCAAGCATTGATTGTCATGAGAACTCCAATGAAAATTCTGTGTAACGGGAAGGTTAGGGTGGCACAAGATGGTGAAGGATAACCGAGCAAACTATAACGGTTTAAACTATGTGATCTGTAAATATCACAGGAAAGAAAGTCCTCAGCTTTGTTCTAAAATTTCTTCTTCTTAGCATGATTTATTTTGAAAAATTATCTTTTCTTATCTTTTTCTTCGCCACAACAGGCTAACGTCCTAGCCATAGGAAAAGCGGATTTGTCACCAATTCATTGATAAACTCATTAGTTATCCAGCAACTGTTTTAACCAACCTAGTGTTGATTTGTGTTTTACATTGAGCGTAAATGAAAGATACAAAAGCCGTCACACTACATATCTCTTCTTAGATCTTGACAGCCCTCTCAAAATTTCCGATTTCGTTTCCTCTTCATCTGTAGCCTCTCCGAGAAGAGATCAAACATAGAAAAATGAGTTTCGCCAAATAAACCAATTTTACTGGTAAAGAGGATCTTACCCTCCAGCAATGCTTGTTGCAAACGACACATCCGACATGTACATTGATGATTTTGGCGTAGCCTGTTCACCGGGTTGTGTTTCCTCTTCATTGACAGCGTTGCTTGAAGCTATACCGCTGTCGCTTTTACGATTCAGACACATCTAAAACAATCGATAAAATTGATTTGTTAGCAACTCAAAAAGTTTCCACAGTCATAAGATCTATAAAAACGATTTGTTGGTTTTTGGAGCTTCCGCTGAAATCTTTCTAGGCCATCTTTTCCCCCTTTTAGACTATTTCCTTCAGTGTTGTAAAATAAGAATCATTATCATCAACGAGCTCTACTGAGATAATAATCTGAAAAAATTTTCATGGTTTTTTATCGTTAATTGCACAGAATCCGATTTTATGCTTTGCAAATTGTAGCTTAAATACTGCCCACCTGAGGCAGCGCCGTGTCACTGATAGCGAAGATTGGCGCCAACGAGACTGGCATCTGATAACATTGTCCGGCAAGTGCTGGTTCACTGAATCAAAGATCCATTGCAGAATTGTGCACATCCGACCAATTACTGCCCAAATCCTTCATTGCTCTCTTTCTTTGCCCCACGATATTTGGTCTCAGCCAAACATATAAGAATGGGATAAGAAAACGCGTTTTCATAAAATCTGAGACAAATCGCAGCCGCGTCATCGAAGGTAGAAAGCATTTTATTCTAAAGTTAGAAGGAAACTCATGTGACCACATAGGTTGTACAATTTCCTCAGAACATTTCCCATAACATTTTTGTAGCATATTTACTCGAACATTTAAACTTGTGACGGCCGTGAAATGGGCTATAAATTGCATGTTATCGTATTTGCTCATTGTTTCGAGAATTTTCAGTAAATGTTTACGATGGCTCACATGTTGAAGCTGTTTTTACATATGTTATTCATGCCTTAGAAATGCGTCCAAATATGTTTCATAACAAGATATTTTTGAGAAAGTGAAAGCCTTTATATGCATGGTATTCATTAAATTAGGATACATCCAAATATCAACAAGTTAGTGAAACATAAAAAATTAAGTTTCTTAAAGGTAGACTATAAAATCAATTATTCGGTCAATGTCAGTTCAAGCAAACGCAGTGATGTTGATTATTTGAGGTCAAGCTTTAATAATTAGGCAAAACGTACGGAAGTATAGCATGTGTAGTTTAACAAATATTTGACGTTCTAATATAATATTTCGGTCATTAAGAATTTAAGGATATTAATTCTTTTATAT